TAGGCAAGAGGCTGTGAAGAGAAGACTTGATATTCCTGAGTTTGACTGAGAAATCAAAAAAGACTTTTTGTGGTACAGCAAGTTTGACTCTTTGCACTCAGATCCAGCCCTCTGTGGCCCCCTGAGCAGGCAGCCTAAGTGGCAGTGAAGAGCACAGTCTTGGGTGACTGCTTTTCGTCCCATACTCCCATGACTGTGGAGTGGAGCTTGAGATTTTTTTCATTTGTGAAAAAGGGCAAAGACTATTAGCTGGAAGGGCTGTGCAATATGCCATACTGGGCACATTGTAAGCACAAGGTGTCAACTCAGTAATATTACTGTTATAACTACTGTCATCATAGTAACTAATCTTACTACTCATTAGTAGTCCATAGATATGCTTAGTTCCAGTAGACACTTCCCACTCTACAAGAAATGTTCTTTCAGCAAAATCATGTACAAATTTAACATTACACATATTTTGTATACTTTGACTTTACATTTTTATTTTTTTATTTATTTTTTTTAATAGAGGCATGTTTTATTTGTTTGTTTGTTTGTTTTGTTTATACATGCACTGGGTACAGTCAGAAGCACGGGAGGGTGAGAGAATTCACCAGAGCCAGAGCAGGGAGCAGAACAGGCAGAAGGACCAAAGTACACTGCTGAGGGGAGCAGCGGGCAGCAGGAGAGGTCTACGTGCCATGTGGGACCCTCCTCTGGTGGCCGGGGAGCAGCCGGGGATCGAACTGGCGCCGCAGAGACCGCGGGCAGCTTCGCAACCCAGTGCTCAACCGCTGCGCCACCGGGGAGGCCCGACTTTACATTTTTAAACAAATCTCAGAAATAAGTCCTTAACAGTGGTCTTCCCACACTGTGAGAATGTCTGCAAATCTTCTTAATTTCAAGAAGGAAAAACATCATTCTTAAGGGTTCTTTTTGAGTCTAGAACCTACCCAGCCATCAGTATGCTTAGCCAGGAATCGCTCTGGGCAGAACCATGAGGTTTGCCATTCATGCCCCTCTGCTCTTCATTGTGGGCCTCTCATTAGCTTCTGATCATTGATTAATTCATCTAGCTACCAAAGTATGGTTTTCAAAAAGCAATAGCAAAATCAAACACAGATACATAACTCCCAAGGAATTAATTCTTGGGGAAGACCATTAACCAGTGTACTAGCATGACAGTGAAAACATAGATTATGTTTCACTTTGCATCATTTTCCAGTATTAGACCTTTTTAATGAACATATTTTTCCATTTCTTTATTCAATAAACCTTTGTTAATATCTGCCCTGGGGATGTAGTGATAAAGACACAGTGTCTGTCCTTAAGGAAATCATAACCAAATGAGGAAACAAACATTCAAAATATTCCAGTATGAAGTTATAAGGCATGTTCCCCTCCTCGGTTCCCCACTCTCCCATCACCACCCCAGTGCTCCAGCCATTCTCTAGTTCCTGCCCATGACAACCCATTACCATTTCCCCGACCTACATTTGAAAATCTCTCTTAGGGCCTGACGAGTGATCTCTCTCAAGCAGCACGCAGATAGAGATGTATTTAAATAAGGGCCTTCACTACATCAACACAATGTATATGTCAGTCTCAGAGCTGATTGGGGAGAGACAGGTTGAGCTGAAAAGAAGTAAAGTCTTTACTGGCCCCTAAAACTAACTGCATATGAATGACCCAAACATAATTACTAATGCAGCTGCTCTTGTATTTCAAAGCCCTACTGTGAAAATATATATTTCCAGATTATAAAATGGCAGGCTTTTTTTTTTTTCTGGGAGTGGGGTGCAGGAGCCTGTCTGGGGGGACACCTGAACGACCTTCACTCTCCCTTCAATGAGAGTTCTGTTTCATGCAGCAGTTGACCTGGGTGCTGCTTTTCTCGGGAGTCAAGCTTTCCCTTATCTCCATGGTCACCAGTGTTTCTGCTGCCTGAGAATACACAGTGCTTTTCTAGCCTGTATGCAGTTCTCTCAGCAGAGCCACACAGAGGCAGAATGGTGAATTTCAGTTCTGTCCTTATGGATTCAGTTCAGTAAATATTTAATAAGATTAATGTAAAGATCTTCAGTGGAAGCTGAGCTGTGAGTGTGGATAAAGGACACTTTCTTCCCAGGAGCCCGTAGTTGAGGGGGGAGACAGAAACATAGAGTAATTCTAAAGTAGTGATTCTTAATCTTGGCTGCACATTGGGATCACAGGGGAATTCTGGAACAGCCCAGGCTGCACTTCAAACCAGTGAAGTCTGAATCCCTGGGGAAAGGACCCAGGCATTGGTATTTTTTGAAAGCTCCCTGGTATGGTGCAACATGTTGCCAAGTTAGAGAACCATTACTCTAAGGCAAAGAAACTTGGAAAAAGCAGCAGTGAAGGGCTCACACAGCACTGTAGTAATAGGAGTCCACAGCCGTTCTGGAGGGGTTAATAGGGGTTAATAGGTATCCATGTCTGACTACATTTCAGGCCCCGGATGTGGGAGATGGGATTTGGTCATTGGAGCCAGCAGGGGACATTTAGGTCAGTTTGATTGTAGGGCATTTAGAAACTCTACTGTGGATGAATGGTCTGCAGGAAACTATGTCTCTAAAGGGAAAAAGGCCCAAATTCATCCCATATTGCTCTCTCTCTCTTGGAATTTATACCTCGCTTCCCTTCTCTTCCCAAAGAAGTCCTATTCGTCCTCCAAGCCCCCAACAACCTCACCTCCTTTAGGAAACCTTGCCTTTTCTTCCCCCATCCCAAGGAAACCTGGGTCCCTGTTTTTCTCTGCCATTTAGCTCCTTGTCTATATTTGACTTTGGTTTTTTAGAGTCCTAGGGAAAAAAAAATGAATACAAAAATCCTTCTAGAATTGAGTTACAGTGTGGCAGACTGCTCATTTATACATTCACCCATTGAGGGGTCTGACATCTTTGTCTCCCTGGCACCTAGCAGTTTCTTGGTTTATTGAATGATTGAACAGAGTTGCAGGAATTTGGGGCACAATCAGGAAAGTCACACCATCAGCAGGGGACCGAGGTGCAGCACCACCACCACCCCCAACCCCAGGCCCCTCTAGGCCCTCAGGGGCTGGAGAAATGGGCAGACATGCTCTTGGAGGTAGCTGGAGAAAGGCTGCAAGACAGCCTCCAAGCTCACTGGTCACGGTGAACTTGAGTTTTACCTCATAGAGTTTTGTCATGAGAGGAAGAGAGAAACAGAAGGTAACAGGTTTTAAAGAATGTGAACTGACTATTAAAAAGTGCCTGTGCTACCAACCTTGGTTTTATTAGGCCATGGGCATTGCCCCAAAGCTTAGAACTCTGCTTTCTGTCTGGAAAAATCGCTCTTTTATTTTAAAATTTGGGAAAAAATGTAAAAAAGTTTTTGACCTATAGGTTTTGCTCATATGAAGGTGAAAAGATGCTCTCCATTTTATAAGCATGAGGGTCATGCATCCCAGTCTTGGTGGGGACAATGCTGATGTTACATCTTATGTCCTGTTTTGGGACTGTGTATCTGATTTTTTACATGGAAAAGTATGTTTGGTGTTCACATGATGAACTATCTATCAGTTAGACAAGCGTAGAGGTCTCTTGGTAGTGAAAACACCTAATTATATTTCCCTCTGTGAACTTAGCAGGGCTTCCTCCTTAAATGAACCAAAATTCTTGAAGGTAACATGGAGTTGGCATTTAGTGCATTGTCCTGAGCTCCAGATTTTTCTTGAGTGTGGTCTCTTAGTGAAGACAATCTATATTAACACCCCTCTCCCTACAACAATTTAGTGCAAAAATCCCTCAAAGAAAAATGGGTCATTAAGAACTGCTCTGTAATCCTATCTCTAAAATTTCAAAAACATTTCTGCGCGAGATGTTGTCACAGGACACAGCACAAGGGACACTCGCTCAGCCAGGGCTTGTTGCTGGCAGCCACCCTGGTGCTTGGGTTATTATGGATTCAGCTGTGCTTTCTCTTCCTCTTTAATAGATTCAGACCCAATTAAATCTCAATAATCCAAATGCCACCGAAATCACCTCAATTCTAATAGAATGGCCCACAATTACACAATCTTTGCACGTATTAAAATGTATCGTTTATTTTCTTGCAGAACAGCATGCCAAAAAAGTTAAAATAAAAGCTAACCTTGAGACTATTCTTTTATAGCTAAGGAACACCAAGGGTTAAAAAGTCAATGAGTAATAGTTCTATTTGGTTGTTTTTAATCATGGGACTGACAGAAGTTTCTAGTAATCTGGTTATATTTTTTAGAAGTCATCTTGTATGTGCTTTGGCCAGCATTTCATTTTATGAAACCATAACAACTGAACAGCTTCAAACCACGTCATGGGTTGGTTGCAAATGATTGGTACATGAACCACCTCATCTTTGGAGGCTGTTTCAGATGTCATTAAATTAGGAGCTACTCTGGCTCATGTTAGAAGCAGTGTTATTGCTCTGGGCGCTTCCATAAGCTTCTGTACTGGACATTCTGCAGCGAGGACATAATCCTTTCCAGTAGCCAACCAGTCTGTAGTCACAGACTCTTGTAAGCTCTTTCCACAGCTGACATCTGTGTGTTTCCATCTGCCCAAGTTTTCCTCTCTTGCAGCCTCTTAATTGAGTGTTAGGGCATTCAGGAACATCTCCCATACTCGCCCAGGATTCCAGCAGCAATTCAGTGGCCACTTTTGAGCTTCCCAACCCTCTGTGATTCCTAATAAGTGAAGGGAGCATGGAGATATCTAGGAGTGGAGGCTGGTGTGAGTTCTACCGCCTTGACTCAGGGTCAAGAGAGGGGAGGTGGGAGAGATCCAGAGCCACGATCAGCAAGAACAGCTCCTGACCTGAAAGAAAAACTGGGCCGGAGCTTTCTCAGGATAGTAGCCATGACCCGCCGCCAGGGCTCGAGTCCTGCTGATGGACCAGTGCCCACCCACCTCCGTGTCCATCAGATGGTTAGCCTTAGGGGTCACACGCTGTAACACCGTTTTAACAGGAGGCCTCCTTCTTCTTTTCTTATCCAGAACTAAAAGGCAAAATGTGAATATGGTTTTTGCTCACAGAATGGATGACAGCCAGCCGCCTTTGGTCATTCCCACCCTTCTAGTGCCGCTCCCCAACCACAGCTGCCCCGAGGCAGCCACGCCCGGGCCCAGCCAGGACCTGACGGAGCTGTCCTCACAGCGCGGCTGGGTGGGCAACGCGACAGACCCGCAGCTCGCACCGAGACCCGGGGAGGTGGCCGCAGCCAGCATCTTCTTCGGGACCCTGTGGTTGTTTTCCATCTTTGGCAACTCTCTGGTTTGTCTGGTCATCCACAGGAGCCGGAGGACGCAGTCCACCACCAACTACTTCGTGGTCTCCATGGCGTGTGCGGACCTCCTCCTCAGCGCGGCCAGCACGCCTTTTGTCCTGCTCCAGTTCGCCACCGGCAGGTGGACGCTCGGCAGCGCCATGTGCAAGGTCGTGCGCTATTTCCAGTATCTCACCCCCGGCGTGCAGATCTACGTGCTCCTGTCCATCTGCATAGACCGATTCTACACCATCGTCTATCCTCTGAGCTTCAAGGTGTCCAGAGAGAAAGCCAAGAAGATGATCGCCGCCTCGTGGGTCTTCGATGCAGCCTTCGTGACCCCCGTGTTCTTCTTCTACGGCTCCAACTGGGACCGCCATTGCAACTACTTCCTCCCGGCCTCGTGGGAAGCGACCGCCTACACCATCCTGCACTTTATGGTGGGCTTTGTGATCCCATCTGTCCTCATCATCTTATTTTACCAGAAGGTCGTAAAGTATATCTGGAGAATAGGCACCGACGGACGAACAGTGAGGAGGACAATGAACATTGTCCCCAGGACAAAAGTGAAAACGATCAAGATGTTCCTCATTTTAAATCTATTGTTTTTGCTCTCCTGGCTGCCTTTTCATGTCGCTCAGCTGTGGCACCCACATGAACGAGACTATAAGAAAAGTTCCCTTGTTTTCACAGCAATCACATGGATATCCTTTAGTTCTTCAGCCTCTAAACCCACTCTGTATTCAATTTATAATGCGAATTTTAGGAGAGGAATGAAAGAGACTTTTTGCATGTCCTCGATGAAATGTTACCGAAGCAATGCCTATACGATCACAACCAGTTCAAGGATGGCCAAAAAAAACTATGTTGGCATCTCAGAAATCCCTCCCATGGCCAAGAGTATAACCAAAGACTCCATCTATGATTCATTTGACAGAGAAGCCAAGGAAAAAAAGCTTGCTTGGCCCATTAACTCGAATCCACCAAATACTTTCGTCTAATTCCTGGGAATTCTTTCAGTTAATGTTATGTGCCAGAGATTAAAAAGCTTTAACTATGAAAACAGAAGCTATCTATATGTATTTTTCTATTTTTTTGAGGGAAATGTTTTATTTTGTAAAGTGCATTTAGTTACTGATTATAGTTTTTATGGGTTTTGTTTGTGTTGCTTTTTGTTTTAGGGGAAACCTTGACCTTGAGCAGGTCCTTTTACTCTATTAGTTACATGTGTGAAAAAGGGACTTTCTGATCTTACTTGAAGCATAAACCATACATACAGTCTTCTATTAATGATTCAACTATTAATGATTCTTTTTTTTTTAAGATTTATTTATTTATACAAGCACTGGGTACAGTCAGAAGCACGGGAGGGTGAGAGAATTCACCAGATCCAGAGTGGGGAGCAGAACAGGTAGACTGAAGAAATACACTGCTGAGGGGAGCAGCAGGCGAGATAGGAGAGGTCTGCCATGCCATGTGGGACCCTCGCCGGTGGCTGGGGATTGAACTGGCGCTGCAGAGGCTGCGGGCACCGAGCAGCCCAGCGTTTAACCGCTGCACCACCAGGGGAGGCCCTATTAATGATTCTTCTTAATAGAAGAATCTTTTATTCTCCTGCTAATGATTCAACTTACTTTTCTTTCTTTGAAAAGATTTATTTATGCATACAAGACCTGGGGTACAGGCCAGAGGTGTGGGGGTGGGGGGTGTCAGAGGATTCACCAGAGACAGAGTGGGGAGCAGAACAGGTGGATCTACTGAAATACTCTGCTGAGGGGAGCTGTGGGTGAGACAGGAGAAGTCTGCTGTGCCATGTGGGTCAGCTCCCTGGCTGGGGATCGAATTTATGCCACAGTGGCTGGCAACAGCTTGACAACGCTGAGACTAAACTGCTGGGCCAGCAAGGAGGCCCCTCAACTTAGTTTTCTTGTTTCTTTCATTCACCCCCACATGCTGAAATTTTATGACTATGGCCTTATGTTCCAAATGAAATCCCCTGTGTCACACATTTCAGAGGCTTGAATTTCTTCTACTAAGCAACATTTAGCAAGGGCTAATAATACATACAATTTTATATTACCTTCTTCTAAGTAGCCCTCTGGAATTCCAGCCCGGATCTGCTATGAACAGAACTCCATTTGTTGGACTATACTAGAACTTGCTGGGCAAGAATTTTAATCAGGACAAGAATTCTTATAGTTGCTTTTTTCTTCTTGCTCTCTCTCTTATCTCCATCTGTCTACTCACCTACCTACCTATCTTCTCTTTCTCACTTTTCCTATTTCAACTCCCTTGAAACTGACAATATCTTGATTGATTTTTCAAGTCAATGTGATGTTTTCCTTATATCTGTGTCCCATCCAGGCTGTGTTGAGGACACTTCTCTTCTCTGAGTTATATCCAAGCAAATAAGCAGGTGCCTTTGCTAGGCAAGCCCAGAAAATACCACTGGGAGAAAAGACAGATGACATTTCTCCGTGCTCTGCAATTTAGACAGGGACTCTGGCTGCCCTTTCCCTGTACACCCAGATAGTGAGGGCCAGGAACATCTTTTTTCTTCTAGAGACTCAGATATGAGACCATTTCTCCAGCTAGAGCCTGCTCCACCTCATCTCTCCCAGGTCACATCATTTATCCTGGCCAAAGTCAAACTCCTCTTTGTGATTCAGTTCCCAATTCTCCATTATTTCAAATATAGGACTAGCACATTGAAAAAAAATTTTTACTTAAACAATAGAGAGCTTACAGATAATAGTTATGCATTCTCACACCCTAGTTAACAAGTGTTGCAGAGTGGCTGCAGTTGTTTGGCAATTTTACCTGCATTATCTCATTTTATCCTCTCAACAATTCTGTAATGTAGTTGCTAACATCTCTGTTTTATAGATGAGGAAGCTGGAGTCAAAGTTAGGTGAGTGGCCCAATTTGGAATATCACCCAGTTGCTGTTCACACCCTAAGTCTGTTGTCTTTCCTTGAGCCGGGCCTCAGTGGACCTCCTGGCTGCTGCCTTGGAGGAAGTCCAAGGTGTAAGAGAATCTGGCCGTTCTTAAAAGGAGGGCCTAGATGGAGCTCACTGAGCTGGCCCTCACCTTTTCCTTGGCCGTGGAGAGATGGGTTCCTGGACTTGCAGTCCTGATTTTCTCGATACAGAAAGAAACCTGTATGTTCCGACCTCACAGACACAGGAAACGAGAGAGATTGGGTTCGATACGTGGGGCAAGGAACAACCACAATAAGACATTTCATCTATAAAACATCTACAGAACTGATGTTTTCAGGTTGAGATGTTTCCTTCAATCAGCAGACTCAGAAGATAAAAATAGTATCTAATAATTTTCTTTCTCCTTTCCTTCTCCTCTTCCCATTCTTAGCCCAGCAACAAATGGCCCTTGAAAATGACAAAATGAGCCAGATATTTTTCACTTAGCCCTTGAATTTTGTGACTCAACTTGTTTAAAAAATAGAAGGGACCCCTGTAGTAGTATAATTTTTTCCCTTTTAAGTGGAATATTATTTTAGAGTCAGATTATAAAAAGTTATACGTTCAATGAATTTAAATTTTATACACACACTTATTTTTAGGCCTCAGTTTATAAGAAAAGAGACCAAGTGATGACTAAGCTCCATCCTATCTTGAACGTTCTGTGAGTTTACCACCCTTAGGTGGAAATTCAGTGAAACAATCTCATACAAATACTCCTAAGGAAGTTATTTTTTAATGATCTCCAAAATAATGACAAATTAAGAGTGTTAAGTCACAGTTGGGGCACAACAAAGCCTAATTGCCTGTGAATTATCTGACAGTTCAAGTGGTGTTTTATCAACACATTAATCATTTACTGTATTTTTGTTCAGTTTAGTTGAATATTCAGGATTCCTGTAGACTCATTCAATCCTGAAATTGGAGGAAACTAGATACAATGACCAAAGCAATGAAGGTTTATTTGCAGAAGTCACAGCAAAAAGAACAACATTCAGGGCCTCCCTGGTGGCACAGGCGGTTGAGTGCTGTGTGTGAAGCTGTCCGTAGCCTCTGCAGTGCCGGTTCCATCCCCACTGGTCTCGGAGCAACCCACATGGTGAGCAGACCTCTCCTGTCTCGCCCGCTGCTCCCCTCAGCAGGGTATTTCGTTAGTCTGCCTGTTCTGTTCCCCACTCTGTCTCTGGTGAATCCTCTCACCCTCCCGTGCCTCTGACCTGTACCCCAGATCTTGTATAAATAAATCTTAAAAAAAAAAAAGAACAGCATTCACTGTAACTACTGACATTTAACTTGACAAGAACCAGAATGTTCACAGGAAGGTGGGCTATTAGTATAAGATCTTATTCCTGTGTCCTGTCAGTTGTGCTATGAATCCGATTCATTTGGCCTCCACAGAAGTGTCCCAAAAAGGTGACAATGGGGAGGAGGGTTCAAAGTAGAGGCAATTCTACCTGACTCCAGATTCCATGAAATCACTAGAGGATGGAACAAGGATATGTCCTTTGAGGAGGAACTCACATTTCTCCCATTCTTCTAATCTTCATTAAACGGATCGGTTCCAAAAACCAGCTGCTGAAAGCAGAGTATCCTGCTCAGATAGGTTTCCCATGAGCCTGCATCCCAGCTCTCTCAGGAGGCGCCCAGCTGATTCCCTGGGTCAGCCTTGTGCTTGGGAAGTTTTGCCCAGGTCGTGTGGGGAGTAAGACAAATGCCAGACAACATTGGCTATTTTGCCTCTCCTCGTGGGCACAGCCCTCCTTGCCTTGCTGGCACTGCTCAAACTCACTTTGAGGGTCCACATGATCATCTGATTTACATACATGTTGTGAAATGATTAACACAACCAAGTTAACTGACACACCTATCACCTCTCTGTTGCCATTTTTTGAGTGTGGTGAGAATGCTAAAGTCCACTTTCAGCAAATGTCAGGTCTGGAATAGGGTGTTATTATCTATAGCCAAATTGATGTACATTGTATGCTGTACAGTAAGTGAATTAATCAGGCTTTTTGTGCCACTAGCCTCTGGCTATCAGCTGCAGCCTCGAGCATGTTGATGCAGAAGGAGCTTGGGAGCTGGGCGTGGGGCCCGCGCACCTGATGGTAGACACCTGGAGCATGGGTGTGGGCGTGTGTAAGTGGGCACACCTGAGCATAGAGGCCAGGCCCTTAAGGGCAGTGTCACTCAGACATGGAAGACGGCTACAGGTGGACAGCTTACCAGAGTGACTACAGAAGAGGTGAGACCATGAGAAAATGCCAGAGAGATCCCAGAGAAATAATAAAGATTCGTGGGGGGCTGGGCTTGCCACAACATATGCCCAGAACTTCTACATGAGCCTGTACCCTTTGGAATATTCAAACTCACGTTGAATTAATATAACCAAAACCTGTTGGAGCTTCTTGACTAGGATCAGGTTTAAGCTTATGGAGGGTCTGTTCCTAGGAAGCACAGGTAAAAGAAGCAAAGAATCAGAGACTTTTAGAGCAGAAGGAACCTTGAAAGTCTTAGCCCAAGTCCCTCATTGTTCAGAAGAGGAACTAGAGGTCAAATTAGGGTATATTAAGCTTGCCTTCTGCTAAGCAGGCGAACATTCCTTTAGCTTTGCCACTCTGCTTGCTGTGGCATGATTCATTTATTGGAGGAAAAACCTTCCTCACTGGGCACAGAAGAATTTGGAGATAATAAACAATTCCCCACTGTTTTATTAACCTAATTCATCCGAACAGAGACAACCTTGGCGCGCTGTGGAAGCGGCCTGACAGTGTCTAATCATTTTTGAAGAATGACCACTAGGTGGCACTGTGGCCAGCCGGCAGAGCCCCCGCCTGCTCGAGATGCCCGTCACATGGGCGAGTTCCGCGAGATCCGGTCTCATAGCAACGAGCCGGCGAAAAGTGCACCCAGAAGCAGCTGTAGATTAATCAATCAGTGTGTGCAAAACACAAAGCATCTAACGCTGGGGGAAATTCCAAAATAATTAATACCCTTTACAGACGTGAAAAAGCCAGTCAAAATATTATTTTAAACGTATTTTACAAATGGTATCATTTTCCCAAAAGCCCCATCAGACCACCAAACTGGCAGTAGGGCATACCACACTCACACGCAAGCCTGTCTCCCTTTGCTGCTCTTTTTATTATTTGACTGAAAATTCGTGGGCTTTTTCATAGCACTGTAACCTAGAGTGCCCCTAAATGTCCTTATGCTTATGCTCCTGCTAAGTAGGCAGTTCTATTTATTTTAAGCCTGTGTCATTGGGCCATTCTCAACTTTTTGCTCAGTGGAGCACTTCC